TTTATTCTGTTTGTATCACCAGCTCTTTTTAATCAGACATTTTAGTCACCACTGGAAAGGTACTTTGCCTATCTAGTAACCCTTCCTGGACTGCTACCATATGAGCCTATTACGGGGATTTGTAAAGGGGAAGAAAAGTGTTCCTGTTTTGTCCAGTCTCATTTGATTTGTTTCTTTACTTTTCTGATGATCACCTTTGTTGTTAGTGTCAGGTCTGCTCAGTCAGACATATAAATGTCTCTTCAAGAAAGCCATGACCATCACACATGAAAGCAGAAATTTAGTGAAGTAAATCAAGTAGTCATTATTAACAAATCAAGGCCTGGCTACAATAGAACTATGGGCAAAGAATGTCTTTCTGTTAGTCAAGCTTATCCCACTCCGCACATTTATGTGTCTGAGACATTAAAAGTGGATTGCTTAAATGTTGTAAAATTTTTCATCGCTAAACAATTATTATTTGCAAATTAACATGGTTTTCCCTTTAGGAAAGGAAAGACTGAATAGGATCAGCAGTTGGATCCAAAGTTAGGAAAGACTGAATAGGATCCACAGTTGGAAAACTTTGTTTTCAAAAGTAGTAAATCAAATGTCTGTAGTCAGGTGAACTGGAAATATGGACTGTGCTTCTGCAGCACATCTTTGTTTTTTCAAAATGTAAATCTCTCTATTAGTAAACCAAAGGCTTTAAGAACTGGGTAAGATTTGTGACCTATACTTTGTCTCCGTGCTGCTTGAAAAATAATTGTTTTGTGTGCTGATTCATTTCTTTTGTTAAGAGTTCCACGATGTACTTATTTCTTTTGGTCTGTCTTCTGAATTTTATTGTAGAATTTTCCAGAAAAGGACCTTCTTCACTGTCATTCTAAGGATGTCATTGAAGCTCATTTCATGGCTTGTATAAAGGAAGCAGATGCCTTAAAGCACAAAAGCCAAGTCATCAATGAGATGCAGAAAAAGGATCATAAGCAACTCTGGCTGGGGTTACAGAATGGTAAATGCAGCCTGTCAATAACTAAAACCAAACAAGCTGGTTTTTTATGTTAGGTTTAATTTATTCAAAACCAGGATTTTTCCTATTAAAGTGACTCCCCCCCCCTCTATTTTTTCCTAGTAAAGTGATTGTAAAATATATTTTTCAGCATTTAAGTTTAATCAATGTGAAGTATTTTAATGGGGGATCACCTGCACTTCACCCCGTGTATACCAGATTGTAGGTCTAATTTAAGCTATTCAGGGAAATAATTTGAGTTTTGACTTGGTTCATGTAATAAAAGTGCAACCTGTTTAATGTAGTTTGGTGCAACTGTAGTTTGGTCTCAATTTAGAAGATGCCCTGGTTTTACCTGGTATTGAGTATGAACTGTCTCTGACCCTGAAAATGGGTGGTTTCTCTAGTTTATGGTTGGAAGTCATTGGTGGGGCAACATAACTAACTTTCATTGATGTTGTCTTGTGTGTGAGTAATATTGCCCATTTTCACCACCCAGAATTTAAAATATAATTATTGCTAGTCCCATGTCTTTTACAAGGAGATTATGACATAGATATAAAGTAATTACTAAAAAATATTGATGCCAGGATCACTTAGAGTAGCATCTGTATAAAATTAGCTACTTTTCTTTTATGGATTTCATAGTTCATTACTTCTGTGTAAAAGACATTTATGGGGAACAGTGGCTTTTCTTTATGGGAGAACATACTGGAAAATGTTGGTTGGCCAGCTAAACATCTTTTTGACAGAATTTTTTTATCTGGTTCTGGATGTAGACAGTTCATTTCTTGCTGGATAGGAAAGACTGCAATACCACTTTGAAATGTATCTTCACACATTTTTAGTATTTATTTGATTTCTAGAAGATGCCATTGTTTTTTATCTGTTAAAGTTGTAGAGTCAGCAGTGTTTTTGGGCTAAGTGCCAAAAAAATCGGCAGCCCTGACTTGTTGGCGTGCCAGCGTGGATGGCGGGGGAGGCACAAGGGGCTCAATCCTTTTTGTGGCAGTGCACCCTTAGCCCCTTCCCCACTGTCTGCCCTGACGCACATGTGCACCTGCTGCCACCAGTGAGCTGAGCCGAGCTCTGTGGACCCTGGTGCAATTGCTTGCAGCCTCCCGTTGCCTGCCATAGCCGGCCTAGGATCTGGGCAGGACCCTGACTCCTACCATGGAGGCCGGGCTGCTTGCAGCAGGTGGTGGGGATGCTGCAAGCAGCTGCACCCTAGGTCTGTGGAGCCCTTCTGGCTGGTTGCTGGCAGTGAGTGCATGTGTGCCTCAGGGTGGACAGCAAGGAAGGGCTGCGCTGTCACAACAAGTCGAGCCCCTTGCAACTCCCCCACTGACTGAGGTGGATGGGCCAGGCAAAATGCCATCATATGGCATGCTCTGGCACGTGCTGGGGGGTGGTGACCCCTGTTGTAGAAACCATAAGACATTTAAATATTTAATTTATAATGGCTAGACCTAATTTTAAAATGAATATTTGAAATGCTATAACTGCGTACACACATTCAGAACATCCAGGACAACTCCAGGTTTATTTCCCTGAGAGAAAAGCTGACCTGTACAGGTTCAGACAGGGAAGCAAGGAGCCTGCAAGCATGAATACTGGGTTGCCAGAGGTCCCGAAAGCACACAGCCCAGAGAGCTTTCAAGGCTTTTTAAGTGAATGTAACCAGGGACCATCAGAGTCACTGAAGGGTGGGAGTCTGTGTTGTGCTCCAGCATTTCTCTTCCCCCATACTGTGTTGGAGCGCAGCTGAGGCTGGGGACTGCATATGTTTCCTTGCATCCAAGTGCTGCAGTGTCATTCAGGCATGGAACAAGCCAGGAGCAGAACATGCCTGCCAACTGTTTCAGCGCTGGGCTTTTCCAGCCCAAAGCACTTGGGAGGTATGTTCTGTTCCCTGCTTGGCTGAGAGTGACATACATTTTCTCTCCCTCTGTGGGAGGGGAGAGAAACAAAGCACAGTAGGATTGCAAAGGTTGGCTCTGCGTCCACTGTGTGTATGGAAGTTCTGTCACTTGAGGAATATTCTCTGGGGAACCACTTCACGCAGATTGTCCCTAAGTTATTTTTCTCCCTGAATGGCCACTTTTACTTTGGAAGAAAATTTATGAACTTCTGTACGCTTGTGGTTGGTTTCTCCAGAGACAGCGGTGACTCTCCCTACAGAAACTGAACGTCTTTCCAAGCCTTTAGAAGCTGGTAAATGAAATAAAGCTATAGAGCAATTAATTGTGACCTTAGTCAGGAAATACAACATATAATAATGTCATCCTGACCTCCCCCCTCAGTTAATGCCAGAACCCAGAATGACTGAACTGCTTGGACAACAGTTGAATGTGATGTGTGTTTTGGAAGAAAGTTAATTATCTTCTGAGTTAGTTGATTTTATATCCTGTTGTTATTAATTTTAACAGGAGGAGATGTCAAGTAACTGTCTTTCTTGAGGAACAGGGAATGGTGAGGAGTTGACGGAATTGTTAGTTTAACATGTGAATGGTGAAGTTTTTAGGGATGTAGCTATTAAGTACGTAGATTTATGTAGTGAAACTACTGGGAAATGTGCTGACTGTTTTATAGTTTGAGTCAGCACAAAATTTATCTTAACCAGTTAGGGGATTCTGTTTTGGTGTAATTGACTGATATTTTTCATATTAATAGTGAAAAAAATCTCAGTGAACAGGAAAACAGTTTACTCTTAAATATTTGCTTTTAAAAGGTCAGATTATTTTATTTTAAATTTTCAGTAATTGAGAAAATGATTTGTTTTTTTCCATATTCATCAAAGTGGCACACTTTGTATCATAAACAAGTTAATCTAAGAGTAATGTTATAGGAAGCGAATGCTATGCCATTGTAATTCTTTGAAGTTTTTAGCAGTGTATCAACTTTTAATGGACTGTATAGCCCGATATAGAATTGGAAGCAGTCCAATACTAAGATGCTGCTAAGGATGCATTGTATTAATAGCTGTTTGCTCTTATTTCAGAATTAGCTTTATAAATAAGCATAGTAAGGATCTGTAGAATTTCCAAGCTATGTTAAGGCAAACAGGCTTTTTAGAGCAAAGAAATAGCATGAATAAAGGCTCTTCACTTGATATATCACCAATTCAGTCTGGTGATACAGAATCAGTTCAGATAACCTGACGACACTTGTGAGGCAGAACGAGATGCATATTGTGTTTTCTGTGCACTGTTCACAGCAATAAACAAAAATTAAAGAGAGAACCGGCTTGTTATATAACTGTTCTTGATGTATGCTGTTGCCAATTCTATATAGAGAGGAGTTGGATGATATTTTATACAAATGAAATGGGAGTTTCCATTTAGTATCCTTTTAACTAAATTTTTTCTCTAGCATTCATACCAATGAAATGCTGGGGTTTTATCATAGTGGTAGCTACATATTGTTTTATTATTAAAGTCATTTGTGTAGAAGTTGGTTGTAAAATGTCACTGTAGCTAAAATTAAAAAAGGATGTTAAGTACTTGTCAGAATATGAGAAAGCACTTGCTCAGTCATATAGGTTAGGTTTCATTGTTATCACAAGTGTCATAAGTGATTGCCCTAAACTGGTATTTCTTTTTTACCAAAGGGTCTTCATGTTAAGTAAACCATCATTATACTTGATGTGTTTGGGACTGCTTTGTGACAGTCCTTAAGAGGGTGGCCTAGTGAAGTTGATCTTATACAGGTTTCACTATTTAATGAGCAGTGGCACCTGTGCAACCTGACGCTTGAAAGAGAAGCTTAAATAATCTTTTGAATACTTTCAAATGCTAATTTTAATTTGTCAGCTTTTCATAAAAGAGAAATACGAAAAGCTTGTGAAACCAAGAAAACTCTTTTTAAGACATGCTGTACCTTTCAGTATTTTTTATAGGCTTTCGTTTTAGATATAATGATTTTAAACCTCTCTCTGAAACAGAATTGATGACCACAAAAAAGAAAAGAAAGTAACATTTGTGATAACTGCCTCAGAGCTAATAATACATCTGCAGTTTTTTGTCTGTGAAAATTCAAAAAAAATTAATTAGATCTAGTATATAGTAAACAATTATTTTTATTTAATTCTTGTTAGATAACTGTCAGATTTACTACATGGATTAATGTGGTGCTAAACTCTGGTTTTTGTAAATTTTAATTTTGTCTTTTTGCATAGCTTCTTGATATCACAATAAAGCATATATAGATCACAAATACAAATTGGAGTTTGGTAGCTCTTCGTATTAAACTGGAGTTGCCTGGTCTGCTGGCATTGAGAATTTTCCATTTCTGTTGCTCTAACATCCGTCATGGGATAAGCCACAGCGGTAAATGTGTTGGGATTACTTGAATTGGTGTCATGTTCATCTTTGATTTCTTTGTTGTTTTACATGGTAGCTGATCAGCCACCAAATCAGAGACTTGGTCTTACCTTTCTGCCCTGGTGCCTCTATTGATTTAATTCATCCTTCAGATTTCAGTCAAATTAATGCCTGTTTCCTTAAGTCAGTCTTTTTCCACCAGAGGTTGATAACTTGGGAATGCCATATTGGTTCAGGATCAAGGTTGGAGAATTGGGGCATTTGAACAAGGTAGAGAAGAGAAGCTTCCTGAGGGCAAAGAAGTAAAGCTGCTCTACTGAAGTTTTTTGACCACAAAGCTAAATTTTATTCAGAATTATAGGAAAATGTCTTACTGTAGCTCTTGTTCTGAATCACTTTGTTGCTTCTTTATAATGAGCAAGGGCAGGCAAGCTTTTAAAAGTATTCTTTTCTGTTTGCTTTTTACATTAGAAATTCAGGTCTTGTCTATGTCATAGTGTTTCAAAGGAGACTGGTGAAATGATGACACAGGATCAAGAAAGTGAAAGCTGAACAGTTAAAGGGGTAAATAATTTTTTTAATTGAATAGTTCAGAAGTTTGTTTAACTTCTTGATTTCTATGCAACAATTTTGATAAAGGGAATTTATTAAAGATTCAGGACACCTGTTTTTTCTTTGATG